TAACATAAAATTACATATAATACAGAATGTAAAAATATTATTTATTTACAGATAAATAAAATAATGAAAGATATTGAAAAGAAAATGAATACAGAAGCCGTAAGTCATATATCAAAAATTGAAAAGCATTCAATGAGTAACTAAAAGTAGTCTTCAATGTATAGAAGCACTCAAAAAATTTGGTTTATTGACCCGTCTAAGCCATAATTAGATAGTTACTCTCTGGAAAATTCATATACGTTTTTTTATTGAATAATATTAGATTTGTTTTGACCTTTTATAAACGTTTATGTAATTGTACTATTTTGATAGGTATTTTAATAAGAAAAACTCTCACATTGAGTTTCATATAGTTCAGTTCAAATATTCCTAATCATAAATACCGATGACGACATTACTATTGAATACTCTTCAACACAATAAATCAATGAATTCTGTATCATGTTGGAACATATTTTTTTAATATTACTTACATTTTGCAACAATGCATTGAAAGTTATACATACGAATTAATCCGCTATAAAATTCCGATATCTTGATACGAATCTTCGTCTAATAACATCTTCATCATTGAATTCCCTTTTGATTCTACTAGATAAATATAAAAGATTTCTCCTTTATAAACCCCGGATATATAGAAATCTTCCGTACGAGGGTGTTCATCTTTTCATTGATTTTAATGTGACTGCCCGCAGCTACCCTACTCTGACGTCGGGCGATTTGTATTGCTAGCGCGCCCCCGTGCGCTATTACAAATTTGTAGGTTTTATGGGAATGTATCACGTTATTAAAAGCTCACACATGAAAGTAATCAGAACATGAATGCAATTTATTATATAAGTAATATAACTATCAGGATTTATATTACGTAATGTGAAATTGCATTTCATTAAGTGGAAATTATTCTCATTTATCACGACGATCGAGAGTAATGGTATGAATACTATGTATAAGATTGTAAATTTTTAATTTTGAATTAGGTATGCATGATTTTATTTGAAATTAACCGTATACATTCACTTTTCCTATTTTGACTTGTGTAATTTTACTTTACAATATATTCAACATTGATTTAATTAAACATTAGTATTCAAAAATTCTTCGTAGTTTGTTTCTGGTTTCAAATTCATTTTATTTATTTAACAAAGTTTTTTAATTGGCGTCAGATAGAGCATCAACATTACGTACATAAATATTTAAATTTGTACGCAATATTAAATAAATATGCCAATTAGAAGAAAATAAAGGAGTGTTAATATAATACCACATAACATAAAATATTTGATTTAAACCTATTATTATCCATATACACATTTTTATTTATATATAAACATACACAATTATATGTTTTTTCAATGCATTATTACAACTATATAATTAACTTATAACTTATATTTGTAGCCCACTAGAAAATGAATTATTCTGCAATATGTACTTAATGTTTTTTTAAATTATTAAATTTTATAAATTTTATATATTCATTGCTTGAATCCATATTTATTTTGATTTTTTTGTGAACATGGATCCAGCTGAGACTCTCAGGGTATTAAAGCCAGCTGAGACTCTCAGGGTATTAAAGCCATAAATTCATATTATATATATATATATATATATATATATATATATTTATGTATATATATATATGTATATATAAAGTACTCGAACAATGCAAAAAGCACGAATTATAACTTTTGTCTCGTGAAAAGTTTTCAATGGCATTCATATACATTATTAGTCTTGGAAAAATAAATGTTTGTTCAAAACTCCAGTTCTACGTAATTGTTTCAAACTTCAAGTTTCTACTCTTCGTGGACTATATCTATTACAAAATATAAAATAAAATAAATAATGTTTTATAAATAAACTATTATATTGAAACTTCCATCAGTTATCACAATAAGAGTCCTTTAACATCTAATTGAGGTGCGTCCGGAACCGTTTTCAAGAACTCAGGCACCTCACATGCATACGTATAACCTCGTTTCACATCCTTTGAATCAAATGCAACCAATCGAGTTTAGAGATTACGTCGGTGCAGTAGACATAGTCCTTTCTAATCTCATCTAAACTGGCGTACGGATTATTCACACCTATCAACACCACACCCAACTTGGTCTTAGGTTCGTAAATGATTCTGTAGTAAACTTTCGGAACGGGTAATCTAGGATTTGCGTATTGTCGAAATTCAGATAGATCTCTTTTTGCTCGCCTTTTCGTTTGGGAATGTCAAGATACCGTTTGTGCCCGTGTAGAGATCAACCTGAAAATATATTTTGTTACTTATTTTGGGAAACTGGATATTACAAATTCCTGGTTATTTTTAATTTAATGTTTAAGATCTTATATATTAAACTCAATTACAATATAATATATATATATATATATATATATATATATATATAAATATATATGTGTGTGTGTGTGTGAATTGTATAATTTTGTTACAACATATTATTTTGTGGTTATGCAGTTAATATTGCTCATTGATTATAGTTTCGATCAGCTAGACTTTTAGGGCGAGAATAAAAATAATTTGTGTTATTTATGAAATGCTTAGTTCTTAACATAAATCATATAAAAAGCTCGTGATACACCAAGATGCTACCGAACTCTGTTAAAATAGATCACTTTTCGCCAAATGACTAGATAAAATTATTGGCTTTATCAGGCCATTAAAAAATGATATATAGTTTAAAATATTGTTATTTAGATAAAATAAAACGGTGTTACAGATTGTCAGATAATTTTTGATATGTTTGAATGTTAATGTTATGATGTTTGAATGTTGATTTAATACTGATGTTACATAGATGAATGTTGAGATATTACAAGTTTTAATATTTTTATATTATTTTTCTGATTGATTGATTTTTGGGAGCAAGCAACTGCCTATTTAATTCATTATTTTATTATATATCGATCTGTGATTTAGTATTAAAGGCTCAAGTTTAAAAAAGCTGAATTTCTTAGAAAGTCCGATAAATGATAGGATAAGGGATCATTTTGAATTTCGGCATATTGTAATAAAAGGGATTAGGTTTTACTATTTCTATTATGTATGAACTTAATTATTTAATTTTATTAGACCATGGTTGAGTCTTGGGCGTAAACACTGGTTTACGTGTATTTTTTTTTAATATTGTCCTACCAAAGATAGCAGTTGAAACGTAATCAAACCTTAATATTTTAATTAATTATTAGTTCCATGAAATGATTTAAAAAGTATCAACGATATAAAGAGAACACCATTGTACAATTTTCAAGAATACTAAGTTGCATTGGGTTATCAGTTAGTATAAAAAAACTTATAAAAAATATACTACATGCAGCAAAGGCCGGAGAAGGCTACTTTTACTTGGATTCGTATTTTGGTTCTATATTTCCAAGTGTAAATGAATATCGCTATTGTTCGATATGAGGTTGACGGCGCTGCGTATGAGTCAGTTAAAAAATAAATACACGTGATATCTTACTATACCCTCCCTCCCCCACGTGATATTTCGTGATTTTTTGTCAAACCCCCCCCTCCCCCTAAAAACCTCACGTGATTAATGGACGCCCCCTGATTACAATGTATCTATATGTTTGCTATGATTAATAAAATAATCATAATAAAATAAAATTAGGCAGTACTTTAAATAACCAAGATTTAAAGTCTTTCATCTATTTAAGCAATTTATATTTTTTCCACAAAGAGAGAAAATGGGTGTACAAAAGCTAGAGAAACAGCCAGTATAATCTATTAATCGTGAATTAATTCTCACCTCGATTCCTCTGGCGCTCACAAAATTCCTCACCGAGGACTCGACGCGTTCCCAGTTGCCCCCGTTAAATGTCTGCCATTGGGGCGCAACGTTCAAGAAATAGAACGTTCCGCGCTGCTGCGAACCGTATATAAAATCCACCTTAGCGGCCAGGTGTCCACGGGCCATGAAGTAATCGTTCGTATCGTGCACTAGTTGATTTGCCAGTTTAGTTGAATTTAGAATTTTTGCGATCATTGACTTCTGAGACTTTCTCCTGAAACATGAGATTAGGTAAATGTTAAGTACTCGCTTTTCTTTGAATATATTGATTATTATTTTTCAAGTTCCAAATAGTTCTCCAGATTGGATATGACTACTTGATTTTTTGATAGATTAGAATTGATTAGATGATAAACATATTTTTCACAATGTTAGTTCGAGAGTACTTCATGTGAAGTGGATATGGGAAATCTTACATTTATAATGTTTTAACTGATAATGCATTCTTTATGCCCGAATGTGACTACTGCTGTTATAAAATGCTAGTACCATTGTCATGAAAATTTGCAATATATAAATTACTAAATGTTATATTATCTTTCTAAAGCAGAAGTTTGTTATCGCCAGGAAATTCCACTTTATTCACTAATTTTATGTTTTCTCGATGTTTCAAGTTATTCTGAATTGTTTGAACCAAGTTTCAAAAAAGTATGCATGCATGAATGATTTTTGAGTTGTGTTCGGTTGAACCGAAACGATTTATAAAATTATAAACCGTTAGAAAATCATCAGCTTGGTATCGTGCTGATAAGTTTTAAAGATCGGCCGGGCCGTTTTTTTCATAATTACAATAAATTAAATGAAACTTAGCATGCAGTAAGAAATCATGGTCTAACCAAACAACCTAAAAACTAGAGGCCTAAAAAAGTGGTTGAGATATCAAAAGTCATTAAAATGTATACTAATTACATTGTTTTCAGGGCATTCAACGTGTTTCTGCCCTATAATTGATATAATTACATATATTTAATTTAATTTATTTAATAAAGTTCAATTCATTATTATAATTGAACTAAGAGATTGAAAATGCCAAAGTGATTAATGCTTGTGTACTTAATAACTATCAATTATCATTTTTTGAAAGCAGTTGATAACTGAGAAAAAAACTCAAGAGTGTTAACTGAATAAGTACTTACTGGAAAGCGGCATTTATTGAAGTAGAATTACTAATTCCATCAGAATGTCTTATCTTAAGTAACTACTAGACTTTGTAATCCATTAAATTGATTACATTGTTTTTGGTAATTTACAAAATTAAGTGGATTACTCAATTAAATGTTTTTTTTTAATTCTATTCTATTCACGATTTTTTGGTAACAATACTCACTTATAAGCGTTATCAACCGAAAAATCATAGTGCTTTCCTTGAATAAAGTTTGGCCTAGGCACAGAATGCTGATATCCCGCATTGGCAGGTGTCATTTTATGATGACTATATAGAGTCTCTGCCATATCCCTGTCATGACATAGGTCGAACAATTTTAAAACTCTTCCGGACGATAATTGAAAGCCTATTTCATAGATTTCGGATCGGCTTTCTCTTCTACCGCATCTGCGACCCGTGGGTTTGGCTTCGTGATACGGGTTCGAAACACAACGGGCTGTGCTGATATTCGACTTGCCCCAAGGCAATTCGAAAGAGCTGCCCTGAAAATTTTAATTAATATACATTTATTAAAACTCCCTGGGTACGAAAAATGATAAAAGAAAGAATAAAGAAGGGCGAGTGGTGATGATTATTTGATTGAAATGTAGGGTAATGGAATTGAGCAAAAAATTTGGGAATATTTCCAAAGGAGATCTTTATGCAAATTATGACAAATTCCAAAAACATTAAATGTATTAATCATTGTGCAAGCTCATGATAACATAATTATTTTAACTAGCGTAAATGTTTTCTTAATCGCGTTTCTGCCAAATATTGATCTCATTTAAAAAATTAATAGTTCGTTAATAAGAAACGAAAGTCGGGAATCGCAGTGATTAGTGAATTAGGAATCGTACTGATTAGATTTCGAAACATATATTTCAAGAAAATTTAAAGTTGCTAAATGTCGTTTAAAAAAAATTAAATTCATTAATCATATTCGAAAATTTTTCCAACTTGATTTAAGGATTTCTGATTCTTTGAACACTTCAAAAAAATTATTATATTGTATGCGATTATACGGATGTATACAATTATCATGATTAATTTCGTAGGTTTTTTTATAAAATTCGATGTATATTAAATCTAATTACCTCAATACAAGTAGCCATCATAGTTTCAACATAGACGGCCCCAGTCAGCCACCAGAACCAAGGCATTTTTGAAGTGCTAAATTCACTTCCAGCGCATGCTAGCTCTACTTTTTGATTGTATTCCAGACGTAAAATGCCAGAGTCATCTTTAGGTTCTAAGAATTTGTTGGTCCCAGGGATAATGAACAAAGGTTGAGGGTCTCCTAGACCCCCGGTTATTGCAACTTCACATCCGGCTGAAGCTGGAAAAAAATTATAAAAAATCATGCATATGAAAATTTATCAATTGCCTAAGTAGCTCGTGTGCTGAAAACTTTGTAAAATATTTGCTATATATATATATATATATATATATATATATAGCTAAAATATTTATATATATATATATATATATATATATATATATTATTTAAGAGAAGTTAGTCATTTCACTTCATATAAAGCAAAAATATTTAATATATAAATTCAGCATAAATATTTACCTTTATCATCCGGCTCATAATTTATGGTTCTGGAAGATACACAATGCAGTGAAAATATTAACAAAATGAAATTCTTCAACATTGTTTATACAATGTCTATGCAAATAATAGACGTCTGCGAACTGATGTTGCTGTATCCTGCTCTCAAACAATGATTACCGCTATTTATACCCGGAATTTTCTATAAAAATATGTAGAAATTGTTATATATATACATGTATACATATATGTAAAATATATTATACACAAGTGTATGATAAGTACATTTTTAGTGATATGAATTGGTTGCTTTAACCAGGGCTTTATAGTACATATTTAGAAAATATACAAAAAATATACAAAATGTGAAAATATCGAATTAAATATAAATGAAAAACAGTTTTCTATATACAACTAAATAGTAAAAACTTAAATAATATTCGAAAGATCAAATTTGAAATTTCTTCAAGTAAGTTCTAATTTTTCTACACCATTGGACCAAATATTTTTCATTATTGAGTTCTTAAGCAATTTAGAAGGTATTCAAGATTAAACTAGATATTTTCAGCAACAACTATTAGAAAAAATAAAATTAACTACATAATCAATTAATTATTAGTAATGCAATTAATATATATACTGACAACGAAACTTACTATATATATTAGAGTAAATAAATTGTTATAGTTCTAAGTGGATCTCAAATATAAAAAAATATCTAAAAATATTTTTTTACATTATTTACTTGAATTATAAAATTGTCATTATGAAATTAATTTTGTTCATATTATATTTTATTTGCAAGTTTTACTCTTCAGTTTTACATTTATAATCGAACTATGTTTATAATTCTATAACCCTATTTATATATACCCACGTCACAAATAAGCAAATGGGAACAGATTTACGATTTTAATCCCATGATCATGAATTAATTGATGAAAATATTTGTGATAATTAATTTTATCCGATAAAAATTTTTTAATCAATTCATTTGCGTAAATGATATGAAATACTTTAGGATTAGAGGTATCGATGATTTGCAACAAAATTGATTAAGTGATCATGATCTTAATCACGTCGATAATATTATTTCTAAAACTTACAACTAAATTGTTATTTTCACAGATGCTTGATTAAATACACGATATATACTGATTGTATTTCTTATTTTAAAATAAATTTATACATGCTAATTGTTTATAATAGTATTTACAGTTCACTTTTCGGCGTTTAACATTACAATGGAATTTCTATAACTGTATTGTAAACTGGTTTCTTTTCGACGGATTCCTTATTTGAATGAACAGAGATTTTGTATATAAATATATACATATAGATGCCATATATACACCGTTATGATATTTGGTATATTTTAAACATTGCCTCAATTATTTATTAAAAGAATACAACATATTTCAGTGATAATAATTTTAAGTAGCCAAAATAGTGTACATATATAAAGCTATATAAATATATGAATATATATATATATATATATATATATATATATATATACGTCTTTCTGATAAAATTGTTTTAATAGAGAATGCATATTTTCGAAAAATAAGTCTAAACGGCAAATCCCTGAAGTATGTATGATTCTTCAAAAATTAAGAATGAAAATTGAAAGCTATAAAAATGAAAATATATTTTTTACTGAAGATGACGGTTTTTAAATATATATATATACATATACAACAGTATCAAATCAAACTGTGGCCATTATAAGATTCTTAACATTTATTGCGTTTGCGATAATACGAATGACTGATATTTATAATATTCAAATTGAGGGACATCATATTTCTTCCTTGGCATAAAGGGATGTATTTTAAAGCTTTTTATACGTACCTATATTTCTCATACATAACTTTATATACAGGATCTGATCAATAAATGGATAAGAATTTCCCGACGTACCTACAGCGACTTACAGCCCATGAATAATATATTATTAAAAATGTGTTTCCGTGCCCCCTGCACATAAATCAGGGAGATGCTGTAACTTATTTGTATACAAAGAGATTTAAATAAATACACATATCTTTATGTATTATATACACTGCGCGGTATGACTTTATTAACAATTTTGTTGGAGTATACACAGCTTACGTTATTCTTTCATATAGTGATAAAATATAATTTGGCATGTACTTGGCAAACTATGTTACAAAACTATACTCAATTAGTCTCAAGAATCTTAGAATTTATAATCTAAATGATAAATTTGACAAAATAATTATTTACAATTATACATAAATTTGACAAAATGCTGAATTCTGAATATGATGTTATATTTGTTTACCGAGTCTAAAAATCGGGCAGAACATCAATAAAAAACAAGCGTTTCTTTACAAATGTTTTCTAATACAATTCATCCGTCGTGGCTATAACTAGTATTCGCTAGTAAACTAAAATATGGAACAAAAAATGTATAAAATTTTAAGTAAAAAAGTAAAAGTACTTACGATTTGTTTATTCTGATATTAAAATCAATGAAAACAATAATCCATGATATAGGGATATGGTAATGCCTAATTACAGCATATATATATATATATATATATATATATATATACCATTCATCTATTTTAGCTATACATTTATATATTATATAATATTGCAGCTACTTTTTTAAATATTTTATTTACTGCGTTGTATGCATATATATTAAAATATATAAATGGGCAAATATATTAAATATGTACGAAAACGATATATGTATGGTATTATGTAATTTTGTCTTTTTTTCATAAAAATTAGCAGAAGCAATTACGCAAAGCAGAATTTAAACAGGAAACCTTGTGGCTGGTAATCCGAGGCCTTGCCTTAGTTATCATAAAATAGCCCTATGAATAATTTGATTTGTACAAGAAAATTATTAAGGCTCATTATGACTTATATATATATATATATATATATATATATATATATATATATATCATTAACTTATGTTTTAATAAAGATTAAACATAGTCGTTATTATTGGCAAAAGTGCAAATATTTGGTATTGACAAAGCTTTGGCTTTCTTTATAAATAGCATATTTTTAACAATCCAATATTTTTCAATATTATTATATTTTAATAACGATAGTACAAACTTTGTAAAAATATTATTTGTACCATGATAGTCCAGAAATACTGGGCACATCTTTTACCTATGGTTGTTTTATGCACTACGTGCTATTTGTTTAAGATCCATATTATATAATATTAAGCTGAATTTAAACAAAGCGTCATATCATTAAACTCAAAGCACAAGAAAGGCATCATGTTGATATTAAATTGTAATCAAAATCAAATGAAAAAGACAACAGTTCTTTTGTTTATATTCCGATCATTTTATAAAGGTGTCCTCAAAGGAATAAAAGTTACCCGTAAATCTGTCAAATCCTTTGCCTATCTTTCAAGCGTCCCCGACCGTTTGTTCGTCAAATAAACATCGTGTATATTCATGAGAGTAATATAAGCGCTCTCATTTTAATGAGCGATTTCTTTCGAGCGAAGCTCATTACCGATGAAGCCGAGACGTTCAGGACATCCTTCTTTTTAAAGGATACATGGTTCTCAAAAGGCAATTTGGATTAAACATACCAAAAATATATTAGCGATAGAATATATAGAATCTTCCACACCACATTTTCTCCTGATCAATATATCCCTTTCTCTATATTTTATATCTGGATTCATTGTATTTTAATTTACACTCAAATCATCTATATCATCACTATTAAAGAAATTCTAAATTATTTATTTCACATAGACAAAAAAGTTTTAAAACATTGTCATACTGAATATTATTATTTAAAAATTACCAGAATAAAACATCATTCAAAATAAATTCAAATATTTCTAAAGCATTATAAACATAAATTTACAATTATATTTAGTTATGATTAAAAGATTCAAATATAATAAATATGTTGTACTATTTGTACTAATACGGTATTAGTAATAGCTATGCATAAAATATTATTAAACTTATCATGTACATATTTTATTATTAAACTCATCATATAGAACCTATTATATACTTATATATTCTTGTTAAGTAGATTTGAACTTTGAGAATTTCTCAAGTATAAATCTTGGCGTCCAATAATGCTAAAGAAAACATCCCCTTTCCTCCAAAGCTCGGTCTGCAACTTGATGAGAGCTTTCTATAAAAGTTCTAATAACTCTCGCGAGAGAGATACATTTGCATATTCTTTTTAAAATGTTCGCCGTCTTTAATTAAAATCAAAGTAGATTTATTATATTGTTATTAATAATTTAACAAAGTGCTCGTGAGATGTTTGAATTTGTTTAAAACGAAGCTCATGTATTATTCTAGGCTCTGTGCAATATTAATTAGTCGTGGAGCAATTATGTTTTGAAAATTCTTTGTTGTTGTTTCTTAAAGCAATCTAAATGCCCTTGTTGAAATCTCATTACTATCGTTTACCGAGCAAGATAGACCACAATAATTTTAATAATTTTATTGTGCTTTAATAGGAATACTATCAATACAAAGTAAAGGACTTTAACGAATATTAATCAGGTAGAGTGGTAGACAAAGAGATCATATACTATGTCAAATTATTACTAATAAAATTGATTGTCCATTAATTAAATCACTTTAAGGATATCACATACAACGAGTTTTGAGTTTTATATCGTTTATAATGTATTTCAATTTTTAATGTATGAGGAAATTGCAAGTGTCGCGCACTTTCGCTGATTCTTACTGATGTATTCGTGTTGCCATTACCATAATGATACAATATTTTAGTCTGCCAGAAAAAGCACTTGTTTCTTTTTAAAAGGGGTTGAAAAATATTACTAGTATATATATATATATATATATATATATATATATATAAAGAATTATGTAAAAATTCTTGTGTTCAGATTTTTAAATAATTGTAACGTTCAACAATCTACAATGTTTTGCATTTTAAAATCTAAACTTGCAATCTATTTAGAGCGATTTGTTAACCCAATATTAGAGAATTTTAAAAATAGCTATATAAATTTATAATCTTCAAATTATAAATTATTGTTGTAAATTATTTGCAACTATGCAATCGTTCTTTGCGATATATTATATAAAGCATTAT